TTTTATGACGATCAATTTGTACCAATCAAAATTAAACTAAATGTGATATTTCAAAAATGATTATCACAAATTTCAACAATAAAATCGCTCGAAAGTTAAATGTCCATTATGCTGGTGGATGAGGTAAAGCTTTGAGAGTTTGTACCTACAAAATTTCTAAGTAAAAAAATTATTTACTTTATACTGTAGTTATGGAGTTATATGAAAATTTTATCAAAGAGAAACGGCATATCAAGGTTTCTACAAGACTTTTCTGAAGCCGTGCCGGTATCTAGAGTACTGTATATTATTTTTTTTTTTCAAATAACTGTTGATTAAGATTTCTGTACAATACTCCAGAAAGCTTGGACGGGAGAAACGGCGATATCTCCAACAACCGAATGGGGAACCAAGTTGGATAGAAGTGGAGATAGACGGTGCGACGATCCCAGTAAGCACAATGGTGGACGCCTTGTGTCTCCTTTACTCGATAAACATTCAAATTCCGAGAAAAAAAATGACTCTCAAGAGACAGATGAAATATCTATTCAAACATCTGAATCAATTGTCAACTTGGATAAATCTCTTGGAAAACAATCCTGTATATCTTCACACGGCGTTAACAGTTTCTTTAAAATCAATACGCCAGAGACACCGTCAGAGAATAAAGAAAGTTTCGTTTGGAGCGTCACTGATAGGTCCAAAGAAAATGAAGGAAAAGTTAGTGAAGCTCCGACAGGAGCGCGACTCAGAGAACCATCAAATGCTTCCGCGGGACGAGGATGGGAATCTATTAATGAAAATGGAACCCTGGAGTTATGGAAACTGTGCCGAAACCAACGCATGGCTTCAGTTATCCATGTGGAGGCAGGAGCTTCCAATAAGGATGCGCACAATTTCGACAGAAACAGAACGAATAAAATTGCCATGCAGGAATTGTCAGCTGACGATGAATCACAATACAAAGAGGATTTGTTCACACTTCTTAATTTCAACAGAAACACAACAAATAAAGTTTCCATGCAAGAATTGTCAGCTGATGATGGAACACAACACGAAGATGATTTGCACTCACTTCTTAACTTGTTGAAAAATAAATATTCATTTCGTGATGAGACGAATAAAAATATTCTGTATGATTATGAAATTCGTAGATTTGCTGAATTTTATAACATTACTGATTTTTTCCCTGTTCTTGCGTATTATGATTTAATTTTCTGGTTACAAGTCCCTAATGGTGATATCTACATGTGGTCTCGTACAGATGAATCGATGATACTTGGAGGACATAATATGAAGGAGGCTCTGATGAACTTTCTCTTTTACCAGGAAAATCTTCGCTATATTGAAGAATATACTCATAAATTGTTGTCAGTGAAAGAAGTTAAAGAAGAAGCTGATAAGTGGTATGAAGAGAGTAAAGAAACTGCAATTAAAATTGTGGTAACTGATGAATTACTAAAGCCATTAGAAGAAAAGAACAACAAATCAAAAAAAGGTGGGAAACAAAAAAAAAGAAAAAATAAACATTAAATGTTTTCGCCTCCTCAAATGATGCAGAAATTATTTGATTTCCATTTATTATAGTCATTTATAATGTTTGCTTTATATTTAGCTTAATTAATTCTTTTAATTAATGTATTGTAATGCTTTATATTTAGCTTAATTCTTTTAATTAATGTAGTGTAAATAAAGATATGTGCGAATTTGGCAAAAATTTTATGTAGCATAACATATTAGCAGTGATTTCTTTTGCTGACATGCTTCCAAGTACAAGATTCTCGTACACCAGATTTCCGATCCTGACCCATTACCCAATTTTCGCTTGTATCACTCAGATCTGTAGTATAAATTCCGGAGTTAGCAAGAGATAAAAAACTAACCTATTACTTCATTTTCATAATATACAGTACCACCCTGTGTTGTAATCAAAAGATTCATTTCTCAGCGCATTATAGTGGTATGTAATAATTTATATTTTTTATATATCGCGTCTGATTTTTGCTTTCCAATATCATTGTCGCATTATCACATCATAGGTGCAACCGTGAAGTTTCTTCACAATAAAAATTACGTGAGTATTCAGGTCCAAATTATCCCATTAGCCTATTCCCCGCGAGATTGCTCAATTACATAAATACAAAAAAAATGCAAATATAAATGCTATGGGGAAAAAGGAACATTTTCAAGAATCTAAATTGCAAAAAAAAGTTTGTTGAACTAATATATGTTTGATCGGATTATCGTCATATCGCTTGTGTATCAATGACTTTACCCTTTTTCATTCCAGGATTTGACAAAATGGTTTCCTTTTACTGTCTAACGTACATTCCATGAAATACCACCCCGATCGTGACATTTTGTCACGGTTTTTTATAACCCAAATTTGGAACGCAGATCACTTTTGCCAAGAAAATTTTTTATTAATACATGCTGAAATAAATACAAGATCGGGACGTAGCCCGTGATACATATTATTTTTTGATAATTTTTTTGATCCTAGCCCTCTTGCTAGTCGGGGAACTATCTACACTAACCCGATCCTTCAACAACCCTACAATTATGCTGATTACCCTTTTCACGTTGCTTCGAAGTAATTCAGGATTATCTTTAACTGCGGACTTCGTAAGATTAATCTGATATTCGAAATGGCACTCCGTACCTGTGGTCACAATACCATAGATATAGTCGAAATAGTCATTCCCAAACGCTTGATCCAAAGTTCGTTTCTTTTTATTGGTCTGGAATGCACTTTCAAGTTGCGCCAGATTCTGAAGAAAAAATAAAATGCTATTAATACTATTGAATCTTCTATAAAGCACGAACGGATAGTAAATTTACCTGCGCATATCCGATTTTACTATTACGAGGCTTTCCTTCGGTGATACATAGGAGATATTCTAGACTTTTGATTGCGTAGCCTACTCTGCCTGTTGCATCCTCACCGGATATATCTTTCTGTAAAACTATAAATATATCTTGAGAGGTAAGTTTTTTAGCTATAGCGATGGATGCATGGAGAATCGATGAAATAAATTCACAGCGCGTCGCCTCGTTGGCGTCGGTCATGGTTTTCACATTTGAAAGTTTTAATATAATGTCTTCCATACAGTGTTTGAATGCCTTATCATCATCACTAATCTCCTCGAAGACTGCAGGCAGAGAAATATAAGTTAATATATGTAATACTCCAATCTGGAAAATTAAGAGAGTAATCACATACCAGGAGTAAACTGCTTGATGTTTGTTATATCCTCCCCATTGACCTTATTTCTACATAACATTTCCTTCAGGTCGTCGAGAGTTTTGAGTGAGGAATAGTTTCTTATTTTTTGGCCAAGACCTTCGATAAATTTTGCAAGTGTTGTTGCAGGACCAGCCTTCAAACCATAACTTTAAAACTCCTCTTTAGTTGTATCAAGGAAGGCAAGACCAGATATTTTCTCTTTGCGAAGAATTTTAATATCATCCTCATCGAGTTTCAAGTCTTTCCTTCCCAAATAATCGATAAGCTTCTCTGTGTTAAAATCCTTAACCATGTCCGACATTGTTCTAGTGGAAATTTCTTCTGTTATTGAGGTAGGTGAAGCAGGTGAAGAAGCTTGTGAAAACATGGTTTTTATATATATGAGTTTGTGCTTGCGAAAAAATATGCACTTGACTGCAGTTACAGGTAAAGCTGGTTTATGGATATAAAAGTATTTTTGGTTTCCAGTGTAAGTGCTTAGGTGGAAAATGATAGATTTTTTGTATCGATTCATAATGCATTTACCCAATATATATGCAATTAAGATGTAGTACAGAATTGTCAGGCAATTGTATTACATCATTACACATGACATTTATTAAAGATTTACGACAAGAACATAATACATGCTTTATTTAAATAAAAAAACGTTGCCGGAAGCCGGCTACAATACATAAAAACTATTATATAGCATGATACAAATGAAAAATTCTAACTACTGAGGATATATGAGGATGAGACCCTCTTCAATGTGATCAATATTAAAATGCTTAGAAATCATATCATCTTGTTCTAACGCTTTTGCTATTCCCCTTGGATTATCCACATAAAGCTTAATGTCATCAGGAACCTGCTTATTTTGTGTTGCCATTTCTTTTTTAATAGTGGATATGGCATCTTTGACCGATGTTTGCCAGGCTATTTTGATTTTGAAGATTTTATCATCTGATTCATTTTTGAGTTTAAACCTGAAGTCAATAATATTGGCCATTTTTTCGATTCCTAAATACAAAGCCCATAGTGAGAAAACTTGCTCTCATACATACATAATTTAGCTAGAAACGCTTCACAAAGCATATACATACCTTATTTTGCATTATTTTACGAGAAAGTTTTTTGCAGGAAGGTTGTCTGAACTTCCACACATTCCTGCATGCTTTATATCTTGCTGAAAAAATGTTAAGGAGGTATGTGGTGTAATTAACGTTGTCATATGATGCCAAGAGCTCTATGAAAACACATGCAAATGAAACTCTCATACCTTTTTACATGTAGATCTACTCAGAAAGACCATAGTTCGTTTTATGCTCAGCAATCTCGAAATTGCGAAGTCCTCAGTCTTTCATAACATATGCTTTTGCCGTTGGTATTTACTTTTACAGTAGGTCCTATATTGCGTGTAGACCTCCTTTCACATTTTTCTCATGTTTGTTCAGGAAAAAAATAGACTAAAGTTAATATGATTTCTTTTTCGAATATATGCAAAAATTATTATATCACACAGACCTATGTAATCAGCCTATTTTTTGTCACACATGAGTAGATGCATTATGGCTCAGCAAAAAATCTTCTGAACTGATGATCACTGCTCTGGACTACCTTTGCTCAGGTTAGTTATCCAATGTATACCTCTCAATAGGTATTGTATCCCATTCAGATTAGCAATACCAGACTGACTAATATAATCTTTAAATCCAGTTATAATACCAGTCACTGATTCTTTTTTTGCCTGAATAAGCATTTCTACCAATTCATGATAATAATCATTTTTTGCAATACATCTCATATTTTCTTGTGTTAATCCACTATAGAATTCACTTCTAAAATGATCTTTACAGAGTTTGACGATATCATTACATTTTTTTGCCTTTAAACAGTAATCCACTATTGATTTTTCACCTTGAATAAGCAATCTACATCAGGGTTTCTCAATACCCTTAGGCTATATTTCCTATCGAAGTTTATGCGGATAATATGGCACTTCTATCAGATTCAAAATATGTGGAAGATAGAAAGCATCGGAATGTATAAATACATGGAATAATGATGATGGATTTCTTACATTAGGCAGATTATGTACAAATTGCTTAAGCGCTTTCTCCTTCCAATATCTAACTGTCTTTGTGTTCCAATAGATTTTGATTTTGCAAAAAGGTCATCCCAATATTCTCACTCATCAGGATTCCTTTCACTATCCCATTTATATCTCAATCCATATTCTTTGATAAATTCATTGTAGTCTTCTTCTATCTCGGTATCTATCTCATCATCTGACATTTTTCTAGTAGATTGATTAAATATTTTCAATCGTAAAAATAGGTTGATTATTGCTTGTTTCTGTCGCACATAAGTACCACAATTGGGATACAAATAGAGCAGGATACAATGTCTTATCTAGTTCTGATATAATAAAAATACTTGAATGCGCCATAAATAATATATGCTGTATCTTTAATCGAAAAAATAGCAAAACACCTTCAGGGAAATTATGCGATCACTGATCCAGAATAGTTAGATCAATAGAGTTTTACCATCCTGCTTGACCGGCTAGTATTCTATCAAAATAATTTCTCAGTGATTATCTGCTTATAGCTATAATGGGGTGATCAGCACCAGAGTCGACTGTCATAAATATATTGGAATTAGGTTGTCAGAATAACTGGTGAAACTGAGTGCTAATAGCAAATAAAGGCTGTGTTGATATTAGCTCTACCACTCGCTCTATTTTATTCAGATCTCAGAAATTCTCGACATAGGTATTTGGATTTAGCTGATCTACAGCTTCTTTACTAATATTATTACATCCTTCCAGATTAAGATATTTTAAATTAAAACATGATCTAGCAATTTCTTTGATTGTTATATCAGTAATTTCACAAAAGGTAATGTCAAGATGCTGGAGCTTTGGAGAGGAACGAATAATACCGCAAATTGAATGTTCAGTAATCTCTATGCGATAGGCAATATTTAAATATTCTAATTTATGGCATGACTTTGCGATTCTCCATAGACCTTCATTATCTATTTCTCGAGCATGAAAGCTCCTAAAGCCACCTGACTGATTATCGCATAGATTAAGATAAATCAGATTCAGATATGAACCTGCTATCAGTTCTAATGCTCTATTACTAAATCCCATGCTATTTATGAAACTCAAATGGGTTATATTTGAGCATGAATGTACAATGCTTATGATTTTTTTATCTGAAAGAGAATGGTAGTATGATATTTCGAGATGAGTTACATTTGAGCAATAAACTGGCGTTTGCTTCCCACGTACTAACTTTATGAATTTTTTCAATCGAGAGAGATCCTTTGTACGTTCTATCCTTATGAATTTATTTAATTAAGGGTGATCCTTCACACAGTAATTATAATCATTTGGAAGAGATTGCTTAGGATATAAGTCTTTTCCTCTCAATTCGATACGCTTTCACAGAATAGGTGCACCTCATCTGTACCATAATCAGAAAACATATAGAGTAGGATAGAGAGATTTATCTATCGCTAAAAAATGTAAAATCTGTTCTAATAGTTCTGGTATAATAAAAATTCTTGATTGCGCCATAAATAGTATATATTATATGTTGTATCTTCAAACGAAAAAATAAAAGTACGCGATCACCTCCTTCGATTAAAGATCTGCATTCCAAATTGGAATGGACACGTGCTTTTGGGCGAACATTATTCGCTGAAATTTGCCAAAAAAATTTTCACCTAAACGGCTTATCTTCTGCAGTATCAAAGGCACAAGGGAGAATTTATTTCCAAATTTCAGCTAACATTGCATCAATTTCAGCTAATATGGAATCTATTTCTATTGTCTGAGACTTTTGATGATTGGGCTGGAACGCAGGCAAAGAAGCCTGTATTTGGAATTTTGAACTATTTGCCTCAGAAACAGATTCAGATTCATGGTCAGATTCAGGACCAGAGTCAGGACCAGAGTCTTCTGATTCTGTATCATCTATAGCATAATTCTTTCCTGCATCATGACGCACAATCTTATGTCTCAATGCTCATCTACAGAGAAGATCAAGTTGCTGGTGAGTTGGCTTTGAACCGCCATGAACTCTGGAAGCATGCTTACCTCCTATTTTTCTTAATATTTTAGGCTCAATTTTATGAGGCTTCAGGAATTCGCTAAATGCCCTAATATTACGCTTTCCATTTTCACTAAAAGTGGGGTCACTCAACCTTCTAGCCTTTATAGCTTCTTGAATTCAGATGAGTAGTGTTCTTGCATGTTCTGGATCCTTCTCCATAAAAACGAATGGACGAGGCTCTGGATTATCCTTATATTTTCCTTTATTCTTAACATATCCAATACAATATCAGGAAAAACCGTTTACATATCATGCTGGAAGATTTGAGGGATCAATTTCATAATGACTGATCTGAAGAAATCTCACTTCCGCAGGTCTCATACTCAACATCACTATCACATCTGCGAGATTCTTTTGAGTAGGAATTTTAGAAACATCCATATTCTGAATCCTTTTCCTATAAATAATATGTATAAGGAAAGTATACGGAAATAATACGTTTAAAAAACGTATAATAAACGTAGAAAAACAGT